GGTTAATGGAAGAATATAGGCTAAATCTCAGTTTGGTGTTGACTTTTTAGGTTTCCAAGTCTACTTGGTTTTGTTTTTTCCTCCAATTTACTTCTTTGCACATTTCCCTGAGAATTAGCTACCATCCAACTAGAATTCTAAAATAATAGTTTCTGAGCAGGACGTTGAATATTTGGGTACCCTCAAACTCTTTAGGGCAACAAGATAGGGCCTATGATCCTTCATGTTTTCTGATCCAGACGGTGGAAGGGGACCATCTGTCCAGGAGACACCCATCCAACAGTGGGGGACAGTGACCAGCTGTCTGTGGTGGTCAAGTGCATGCAGCCTGTTGGCACTCTGCCAACAGGCACTCAGTTCTCACTTGCTCTGTTTTCTCCGGGTCACGCTGCTGCATCTTACGCTGTAATTGACAGTACTGCCTTTTCTCTAAGTTGTGAACTGATGCCTAATTTCCATGGTCTTCAGATTAGCTGAGTTTGAGAAATATTTAGTATGCAATTCATGATGATACGCAAGCATAGCCTCGAGAGATTCCCCCACTCCCACGAAACCCTCAAATAATCATGGACTGGCTGTGCTTCAGGCAGTTTGGTGCCTCACTATAATTTATTATTCATAGAGTTATCTTTCTGAGACTGTCAGTTTTAAGCTATTTTAAAACAGCATTACATTTACTCTAGCAATACTTCATTTTCATTTTTTCTTGTATTCACTAGCTTATAAAGAATTTAATTTCATTTTTTAAAAGTTATTAATCAGTAGGATGATGCTGAAATATATCTGCATTAGCAACATCAGCACACTGCACAATAGAGTTTAATTTATGTCATGATGACTACATATTTGAATCAGACTAGAGAAACATAGCTAATGACCACAAATCTAAATGGAATATGTATCAATGTGTTTTCTTCCTTAGGTAGATACAATCAGTTTAAATCCTGCAAGCACACTGTTAGTTTCCGGCACCAAAGAAGGCACAGTGAATATTTGGGACCTCACAACGGCCACCTTAATGCACCAGATTCCATGCCATTCAGGGATTGTATGTGACACTGCTTTTAGCCCAGGTAGATATTATCCTTTTTAAAACAGATAATACTAGGTAAATTGGAATGTTGACATAAACAATATTGTTACTTTTGAAATAAACAATTAAAATTTACAAAGAAAAACACTATCTGCTGGTAAAAGAGGTTTTGCCAATAGCTAACACTGCTTTATGCCGGGGTACAGTATACTTGTGGCATCTGCATCAGGTAGAAAAGCAGAATTGGATATTTTTAATTCCTCAACTCATTAGAGAAATTAATTTATAAGATAACAATGAACTCATTGAGATAAAGGGTCATCTCATCCCTGCGTCTTGGAAAGAGCTGGAACCATTTCAAGGAGAGAATAGTCATTGCTTAAATACAAGGGTTTTGAAGAAAATGAATGTGGAGATTAGGCCACTGGACTCAGAAATAATATCCAGAATAATCTAAACCACATTCTGAAGCTGTCACTCATGTCTGAGTCTCACCTTGTGTTGCAGATAGCCGCCACGTCCTCAGCACAGGAGCAGATGGCTGTCTTAATGTCATTGATGTGCAGACAGGAATGCTCATCTCCTCCATGACATCAGATGAGCCCCAGAGGTATAGTTTGTGAGTTACCGGGGGCGAAGACATTTACAGACATGTTCATGATCACTTCATTTGGGCTTACAATGGCCAGTTTAATATAGTCCTTCTTTCATGATGAAGAAAGGACTATTTCTGAATCATTCTTGCAGGTGTTTTGTCTGGGATGGAAATTCCGTTTTATCTGGAAGTCAGTCTGGTGAACTGCTTGTTTGGGACCTTCTTGGAGCAAAAATCAGTGAGAGAATACAGGGCCACACAGGTAAGCAGGACTGCGGTTGTCTTGATCTTTTTTCTCAAGATAATGAACTCAAGCCTGCCTTTTCCATCAGGGAACACACTTCTTGGGCAAAAAACACCCATGGTTTTCTGTGCTATAAACATGTCCCTGGAACCTCTTGATTGGCCAGGTGATCTGCATCTCGTAGGTTACTCAGGATTTAGATTTATGTTAACAGGCATCAGACTCCAAAAAGGAAGTCTTTAACTTTCATATGGAGAATTAAAAACCACTGTAAAGCTATAATTTTTTAAAAGATAATAGTATGATCTTAAATTTTTAGAATAGTAAAAAAAAAAAAAAGGAAAAAAAAAAGGAACCCGCCAGGCGCGGTGGCTCAGGCCTGTAATCCCAGCACTTTGGGAGGCTGAGACGGGCGGATCACGAGGTCAGGAGATCGAGACCATCCTGGCTAACCCGGTGAAACCCCGTCTCTACTAAAAAATAACAAAAAATTAGCCGGGCGAGGTGGCGGGCGCCTGTAGTCCCAGCACTCGGGAGGCTGAGGCAGGAGAATGGCGTAAACCCGGGAGGCGGAGCTTGCAGTGAGCTGAGATTCGGCCACTGCACTCCAGCCTGGGCGACAAAGCGAGACTCCGTCTCAAAAAAAAAAAAAGAAGAAGAAACCCAGAAACAATACAAAAGGAACTACGATGAAAATTAAGGCTTCTTTCTACCGCTGACTTCTACCTCCCAGTCCTCCTTACAGTACTTTATCAGTGTGTGTTCTGTGAATAAGAGAGGGTATAGGTGTATAAAATTGTTTATGTGAAGTATAATATTAAACTTTTCCGGCCTTTTTTTTCATTTAGTAATATTTCTTGGAGATTCACTCGATTGCTTACAAATTCTTGCTTTCTGATCATTTGGAGGACTTGGTTTTTAATTCTTTTAGTGTCTCCTGTTACCCGTTGACTTCCCACTGTAAGCAGTAACTTCCTACCTTCATTCTCTTCCCTGTGTCACAACTTCATATGGTTATTTCTTCTTAAATGTACACCTTAAAAATTCTGGGGCAGGCTCAGTGGCTCAGGCCTGTAATGCCAGCACTTTGGGAAGCCAAGGTGGGAGGACTGCTTGAGGTCAAGAGTTTGAGACCAACCTTGGCAACATAGCAAAACCTCATCTCTACTAAAAATCAGAAATATTAGACAAGTGTGGTAGCACATGCCTGTGGTCCCAGGTACTTAAGAGGCTGAGACGGGAGGATAGCTTGAGCCCAGGAGATAGAGGCTGCAGTGACCTTGATCATGCCACTGTACTCCAGCCTGGGTAAGAGCAAAAGCGAGACTGTTTCAAAAAAATGAAATTATTTGTGACTTTAGTTCTCTACTTAGAAACTTTAATGTCATTTGACCCCTTCCAGTGGAAAAGGAAATAAACCAATAACCTTACACCAATTCCCTACCTTTTCCTTCACATCTGTCTCCTAACTTTTCTCATGTTATACCTGTATTATACTTTGCCAGGGTATTTATTTGCATTCTGTGCTGTATCCATAATTTCCAGTTGTTTTGGCTTTAGATTTACACTTAAATGGTTTATTATTCCTCACGCGATCTTTGTACCAAGCAATTATTTTTAATTTATTCAAGGGTTTTATTATAGGAAGAAGACAAGAAAAAAATAGAACTTACTTCACTTGTTTAATAAATGAATAATAGCAAAGCAAGAGTAAGCATCAGAGTGAAGTTTATCTTTGGGTGCCTCCTGGTCAACTTCCTGCCTAACCAAAATGTCTCTTTCTCTCAGGTGCTGTGACATGTATATGGATGAATGAACAGTGTAGCAGTATCATCACAGGCGGGGAAGACAGACAAATTATTTTCTGGAAATTGCAGTATTAAGTGCCTTTTCCTCTCCTGAATATTAAGTTGAACTCTATTTAATGCATTTGTAAACCAAACTTTTAAACGGACTGGTGAATGTGCAATGCTAGTAATTAGAAGTTTTACCACATGGAAAATTTGTGGTTTTAAACTTTCTAAATCATGGTGACTTTGTTGAAAGCCATTAGTTGCCATTCTCTTAAGGCAGATAAAATGTGGCAGTGCTAGGGAAAACATGTTACATTGTAAGGCAGATGATCATCCCTGTATGATGATTGTCAGAAGACAGGACTGGGTAGCAGAGAACAGCTAAGAGATAAATTGGGCTAGGGAAACTTGTCAGAAAGCACTGAACAATTAAGAATTTTCCAAGAAAATGTGCAGTATTCTCTGCTACTTCTGAATCTGTTTTGTCTTCCTAATCTATCACAATTGCTACCCATCGGGTTTTGGGTGTATGTTTTCATAGAGTGGTTACTTTCTATAATGCTGTACCCAGATTCTAAGAACCTGGAGGATTAGCAGTTCTTATAACAGTAAGTTTACTGTGTATAGGAACGGTTTTTCATTATAGCTATTCATCTTTTCTACATTAAAAATATTTTTCTCTAAAGAAAACTGTTTTCATTTTATTTAAATAACTTAAGACTAGTGTGTTTAAGACCATAGATCTAGAATCATCTTCTAGAAAACCATATTTAGTGATATGAATGTAATTCCATTACTTTTGAAATTATCTTCAGACTCAGGTAGATAATCCAGTATTTTTTTCGCTTCTAAATTTCAAACAAGCTGTATAGCAGTAGCAGATTTTTATATTCAACCTCTGAACCATGGTTAATTGTGCGACTTATTGTTTCTGTACTCTTTAAAAACACTGTTGTATCTTACAAGTAGTATGATATAGGAGAAAAAAACTTGAGTCAGACCATACTAATAGAATTTTCAAAGTCAGTTTCAAGTGTTATTAAGTATTATCTGGTCTCAGGTATTGCTAGGGACAGTCAGTAGCCTCAATGAGTTCCTGCTGCATGGCAGGGGTGAACCAGCTCTCTTGGCCCTGGTAATCTGGGGTTCCCAGCTGGAAGCAATTTTCCTGACACTCAGTCTCAGCACTGTGAGCTGTTCTTAGGGCCCCTGAATGTCAGCTTGTTCTGGGAAATGATGTCTCCCATAGCTGAAAGTGAATTTCACCTGCCTATCTTCTAGATCATGCATAAGTTTGGTGAAAGCAAATGATGCAGTAACAGACAGACTAAAATGTAACTTTATGTATACATATTTAATTAGAATAGCCATAAACCAAAAAGAAGAAAAAACTCAGGATAAAATGTCACTATCATTTTGTTTGCAAGGAGTCAGGAAATGGAACAAGTTACCAGAAAAATATTCTAAGACCATCCCAAAGTAGCTAGGTTACATAATCTTAAGAGTCAAATGCCAAAATTAAGTATTATACCACTTAATCCACAAATGAACAAAAGAGGAGTCAAAAGTTTATCCTGTTTAGTGTAATAACTTTTACATTAAATATATAGTGATTCACTTCTCACAAAGTGGTGCTGGCAACTTTTAGAAGAAAGAAGTTTCCATTATGCATTGACTAAAAAATCTCAAAAACAACTAAGCAGCTATGCTATAGCTCAGTAAGTACCATTAAACTGTTCTGGGCTAGTGTACATTTCAGGTTAATAGAGATCTACATTTTGGGTTTTAGAAAGGCAGCAATAATTATATTTTGGCTTTTAGTCTAGATGCTTAACATAGTTAAGGCGACAGTTTAAGCATATTAAATGAAGGTAGTTAAAATTTAAGAATCATCACAATCTCTTGCAACCTACATACACTGTTTAATGCTTACATGGAATGAAACCAGTGTTCTTAATTGGCATTTTATACACACACCGAATTTTTTTAAAAAATCAAAGGCAATCATTCTAAATGTACTATGGTAGCATGTTAAAAATGCAAATATGCTATAGAACTAAAGTAATATGAACAGCACTACTCATTACCTAGGAGAAAGGTGACTGGTTTTCACACAAAGCTAAGCCTGTATCAGTCATCCTAATCACAATGGCTTATAAAAGCATCAGGTTTCCAGTAGAGAAACTGTTCTAGGAAAGTCAGTAAATCTCTTGAAAGTTTCACATCTGTAAAACCAGGATAAGGCTACAACTATTTTGAAATCTGAACAAGGTATCAGATGAAAATAGTAAGATTCCCAGCCATAATGTAAGATAGAAAAGTCCTCATGCAGCATATGCTTGCTGGCTCCGGGAAAGCTTCATGTGCATAATACAGAAGTTGCCAAAGAAGGAAACTGGAGACGTTCAGCTGCATTTCCATGGTGCCGTGAATTTTAAACCTCAGGAATGGTGTGGTCCATTAGGCTTTTCATGATGCTTGGTGCCATCCTACAAAAGAGGTGCTTTTATTATATACTGAGATTCTGTCCCCCCCCCCCCGAAAATGCTATGTTAATCCAAGAAAATTCCCAATTCCAATTTAGCACCTGTTAGCATCAAATGTGAATGGAGAGAAGGGAAAGATCTTTTAAATGAGTCCAGAAGCATCTCTGGTAATCTAGTTGTTGACAGACCCTCAGTGGGAAAGGCTATCTGTATTTGGCTAGAGAAGTTAGGATACAAATGAATTCTTGTACATTAAACCTGGTGATTTTTTTTTTTTTTTTTGAGGCGGAGTCTGGCTCTCTTGCCCAGGCTGGAGTGCAGTGGCTGGATCTCAGCTCACTGCAAGCTCCGCCTCCTGGGTTCACGCCATTCTCCTGCCTCAGCCTCCCGAGTAGCTGGGACTACAGGCGCCCGCCACCTCGCTCAGCTAGTTTTTTGTATTTTTTAGTAGAGACGGGGTTTCACTGTGTTAGCCATGATGGTCTCGATCTCCTGACCCTCGTGATCCACCCGTCTCGGCCTCCCAAAGTGCTGGGATTACAGGCTTGAGCCACCACGCCCGGCCAAACCTGGTGAATTTTAAAAAACAGAAAATGACAAGGCTGTGATGAGTTGGGGTAGAGGGATCCATCAGTGATTTAAAAAAAGAGAACCTTAGAACAATTAGTCATGACAATAACTCCTTTTTACCCCCTCGAAGCGTAGGGAGGTGCATTCTATCCAGAAGCCAACATACAAATTTCATTACAATGGTTATGTTTATGAATCTTTTAAATCTCATTTTCACATGCATGATAGAGGTTCTGAAAGAAGGATTCCAAGCTGGCTTGACAAAAACAGCTATGGTAGATGCTAGGATACGAAAAGCTGTATAGAAGTAACCTTGTTGCCTCTTTTCATTTCTGATCACTTGGCTTTCTAATCCTCAGTTCCTGAGCACAGATAGCACCAACACACCACACATGTCTATCTGCTTCCTGAGATTCTGGAGAGAAGGGAAACTTACTCCTAGCATTCCACCAGCAAGAATTCTCCATTACGAACCACTACAACTATATTTATACTGAGCAGAGGAGTGGCAGGCAGTACAACTGCAGTCAATTGTACTGCAAATTGAAAGCTAAAAGCATGCCCACTTTTCCTTGCATTCTTCTACTAGGCAATATCAAAACTGAGGAAAGTATATGTGGATTTTATTCCATACTTGGGAAGTTGTAAGAGCTCATCCTTACCAACCCCGCTGACTTAAATAACTTACTTCAAATTTCTAGATAAACACCAGTATTCATTCCTTAGGTAAAAGACCCAAAGGGCTGAGAATTAAACTATAGTGCTTACATTAAGTCACACGACCATATGCATTAAGTTGAGGAATTGTTTACTTACCGCTTAATAATATGTTCAAAGATAAAAGCAGGCATGATTGTAATAGTAACTACAGTCCCAGATGTTGATAGTATGTCTGCAATTTGAGAGTCCTGATAAAAACACATATTAAAAATCAATTCCACAGAGGCTTTATTTAATAAATACAAAATTATGCCAGTCTTGGTAAAGAAATACAAAATATATGTCCTGTTATGTTTTGTTAAGATCTCTAAAATCCTGCTTGGTATTTCTAATTTTTTTCTAGTATTTCTTTTTTTTTTTTTTTTTTTGAGACGGAGTCTCGCTCTGTCGCCCAGGCTGGAGTGCAGTGGCGCGATCTCGGCTCACTGCAAGCTCCGCCTCCCGGATTCATGCCATTCTCCTGCCTCAGCCTCCCGAGTAGCTGGGACTACAGGCGCCCACAACCGCGCCCGGCTAATTTTTTGTATTTTTAGTAGAGACGGGGTTTCACCGTGGTCTCGATCTCCTGACCTTGTGATCCGCCCGCCTCGGCCTCCCAAAGTGCTGGGATTACAGGCGTGAGCCACTGCGCCCGGCATTTTTTTCTAGTATTTCTTACCAAGTTTAATTGTACACTATTTTACAGCTAGTAACCAGTTTGCTTAAGTAAACTGAGTTGAATATTTTAGTCAAAAAAAAAAAAAACCCTTTTCCTTTCTGAATATTAAATAATTTTCCCCATATACAATACTACCATCTCCTCTTAGTTAACTGTGTAACTGTGTATTCTAAATCAAAGTCTACGAAATGAGGAGGTCATGCTTAAAACTTTTTGACCTTAAGACAGACTTATTTAGGAATTTGTGGAGGAGAAAAACTATAAAAATAAAGTATTAATATGAACCAAAACTATTATTCATTTCCTTGTATTCCTGGATTGAGAAATGTTGGGCAACTATTCATTTAGAATGTCATAAAAATCTTTGTTGCCCATATTTCCACAGAATTCTAGTGTGAGGTACTTCTGAAATCATTGATTCCACCCCCCTTGTTATAGGAACTGTAGTTCTAGATAACAGCCCAAATAATTCCCGTGACTGGCTAGAGCAAGAACCCAGGCCCCACGTTCCCCATCTCCCACCTAAGTCACTGAAAACAGCACCACCTAAATACAGTCAAAAGACAGACATTTTCTAAAACTGCAGCAGAACATGGCACAAAGTCTGTTCCTTACCTTCAATCCAATGACATTCTGTCCATTGATTTCACAGATGTTATGTTCTGTGAGAAGACCATTTCTGGCTGCAGAGCTATCTTTCACTATGGATGTTATTTTTCCATTTTTAAAGATAAAACCAACATGTCCAGTGCTATCCTTATGCATGGTAATCGTCCGTTCAAAGGGCCTACAAACATAATGGGTTATATTAAAAACTTAATTCTAAGGTAAACATTTTAATGGATTTCATATACCATAAATGTTGCCATATTGGACACTTTTATAATAAACACTGTTTCTAATAAGAGCAACTTACAGCTCTGATTTTATACATTCACAGAACATCTTTGTGTAAAAGTTTTTTTTAAGTTTATTCATTATGGTTTGACTGATTTACTAATCAACATTTCCTTCTTTAAGTATCAAAGACAACTGCTTTATATGGTTTTATCAATGTTTTTCCTTTATAATTAATCAGACTTTACAGCATTAAGAATAAGATAAGCTTTTTAAATCACAGTGGTAAAAATAATTTTTATTTTTTATTAACTTTTGGTATTTTCTACAGCCAAATCATATTTAGGAACTATTTCTTTTGTTTAAAACCTCTAAAATATTTCTCACAACTTGACTTTGAAAATTTTATACACTGCTATATTTGAAAAGAAAAACTAGAGCAGCAGTAAGACGTTAAGTTCCTCAAGCCCCTTTGGAAAGGAAGGCATGCAGCTATTATTAAAAGGCATCCAGCTGTCCCTCTAAAGTTGTTACACCAGTTACGTTTGCTTGATTCTCTATAAACTCTGTTATCATGTTATCATAAGGGTTTTATGATAAACTTGTGTTTACAATATTAAATTCAGAAGAGGCATTTCTTCCTGTTAGTACAACTTACTCTTTGAAACTCTGCTTACAGTAAAAAGGACATTCATCTGAAACATTTACTAAATACCTAAACTGAATGAGCAACTGGAAACACAAAGATAAAACAGAAGTTTCACTGAGAAGGAACAAAAACTCAAAAGCTTACTATAGCAATGTGATATAGGTCTACCCTTAATTGGGTAAGGAGTAGACAAGAAAATAAATGGAGGCCCCTGTTTCATGTGCTAAATGTTTAAGGTCTAAGTGAATGAGCTGCTAAACAGAATATTCCATGTTCTTGGAAACTACTGCTTCATAACTACCCAAAAGTCTTGATACGGTTTTCAGAACTCCCACACTACTTGGAAGTCTGCATGGGCTGTGACCCTCACAATGAGGCACCACTGTGATAGTATGTCTACAATTTGAGAGTCCTGATAAAACTAGGCCAGATGTATCTAAGCAGTAAGTCGGAAAGTGAGCTCAGAGATACCCTGCTACTCAGTTACTTCTCCAACATACATTTTCTATTTTCTAGAGAGATTTGTCCTATAAATTCTGAAATAAGGTATCATATCAGAATGCTTTAAAAACATGCTTTAAAAACAAACAAACAAACAGTCTGCACCACACAGCTGCAAGACTGTAAGGCTCATCAATAACATTTTATCATTTTCTGCAACAAAATAATACATTCACAGACTCTGAAAGCCCAAAAAAATGGAAAACTAGTATTGAATTTTCATTTGAGCTGTTTAGTAACAGCTTACCTGTCACGAATGGTCATGGTAATCTTCTCTCCAAAAGCCTGTTTGAGCACCTTGTGCGCTTTATCTGAGCTCCACCCTGCACAGTTTTCACCATTGATCTGGAGTACTTGGTCCCCAAATCTCAGACCAACCAATGAGGCTGGAGAATTAGCCTGGACTAGCTGAACAAATATACCCTAGATAATAAGAAAATAATTTTCGTCATTTACCACTACTATGATACGGTTTAAAATGCTGGAAAATTAGGAAACAACTGTTTGTTAAAAACTCTACCTTAGTGATTAAAAAAAAAAAAAAAAGGAAAAACTATAGGAGTCTATCCAGTTATCACCTCAAAAGAAACTGAAAAATTTATCAAGACAGTAACTCCAAAGAATACGGCAAAAAAGTGAGATTTCAATGGCAATTTTTATACCAAATCATAACCCACCTGACCAACCACAATCCCCCCTTTCAACTTGGAATACAAAACTAAGGAAAATAGAGTGGGACAACTTTAATAAATGCAAGTGTCTAATGAGTCTGATAGAATACCAGATTATCAGTCCATAATCATATTTAGGGGAAAAGCAAGTCACATATTAAAAAGTTTGGTGAGTTCTTTTACAGCTTAATAAATGACAGTTTAAGGTCATAATTCTACCTTTTGAGCTGAAACATTCCTTTACCCATTGGCTAAATTGTGTATAATCAAGTAAGATTAAAGTTTGTCAGACTAAAAAGATGGGCATATTAAATCCACATGTACAGGCTTATAAAGAACACACAAATAAATACAGAAAACTCAAGTACTGTTAACAAATAACTACTTACATGGATATTTTTACTTACGTAAAATCTCAATCAGAAGTTGAACAAAATATAAATAGATAAGTATAAAAGAAGAATAAGCCTGGTAAATAAAATGTAAGTGCATCTACCTCAATCCTAAGCTAGGTCACATATTTCTATCACGCATCTGTTACATTGTAGAGTGATAAGCAAGAACTAGGTAGCACCCCATATAAGAAAAAAATGCCCTTTGGCCAAGTGAACAAATCCACTGCAAGTATTTCCTACAGTGGGGCCAAGGGGCCTATGAAAAGTATCTTTTCTCTTTAGGACAGAGGAAAGAACACAAGAGGAATCCTGGCGGAAGGGGCAGCAGTATCCTCTATTCCCTGAAGATTTTGGAGAAAGGGCAGCAAAGTCAGAGCATCCCAACCAAGCACACAGATGTATTTTGAATAAGATACAAGTGAGCAAGGCCATCATCGATGGCCTCAGCCCCCTGGGTGGGCAGGCAGGGTTGGGGCTTCCTGCCAAGATCAGCCTCCTCCATTTACAGCAGTGCACCACACTTACCATTTTCTGTGTTGAAAGGCTGGATGCACTAAGCTACAGATGTATGACTGAAACTGAATCCAATAAGGTAATGGCTGAAACTGTAAATTGGGGTAAAGACTCAGCACGTCCTTAACAATTCTAAATGGTTCCTCAGAGAGTAACCCTGTTTCATATATTCAGTATATTAAGGTGAGAGGTAATTATAAAGTAATGGCTGCCCTAATTAGAAAGAAACTTTTACTCAAAAAACTCAAAAAATGACCTATTAAATTCAAATATGAAGGATGTTAATAACAAATCTGCAAAAACCACCTCACAAGTTAAATACCGATCATTTGGTTTAAAAATGCGCACACACCTGGGAGACGGAGGTTGCAGTGAGTCAAGATCGCGCCACTGCACTGCAGCCTGGCGACAGTGCGAGACTGTGTCTCAAAAAAAAAAAAAAAAAAAAAAAAAGGCACACCGACATTGACTATTATTGGTCAGTTTTTTCTTAACCTTCACATCTGCTCTATTTAATTGCCACAATTCTATTATACAAAGTACATTATAATATACGTAGGCCAGTGAAATGTATTCCAGTTAGAATATTCAGAAAAGAAAAACATCTTTCAAAGTAATGTGGTTGGAAGTCCCAGCTATGCCTCTGCAAAATAGAACGTCCCCAACTGAACAAATTTAAGTTAGTAGATTTAAAATATTCTCAACAACAGATGCACTATTATAATTAAAGCATTTCCATTTCAAATTATTTTAACGTTAATCAATTATGTAAGATATTTAGACAAATTCAAATAGGTATTTAAAATACTTACATTATCTATTGATTTAAGCCTGAGTCCAATTTTTCCATCTTGATCCTTACACAAAATGACTTCACGAATCCCTTGCTTAATTTCTGCTCTACGAATTCCAACATCATTACCAGTTACAGGAGCCACCATATAGTTCACACTGGAAGGTCTTGCTACCAACTGCTGACAAAACCGTATACAATGTGTCAATATTTAGAAACACTCCTTGAAAAGAACAATGATAATTAACTGGGCAATCCACAAATAATTTCCTTCAGATAAAGTTTGATGTCTATGAAAATGGCACTGGCTCTATTACTAATTCTTCACTAACTTATTCCCACACATATCATCTCTAACAGATTCAATGACTCTCTCTTGTCCTTTGAATTCACTGGCATTTGTTTCACCAGTATATTGGCTTGTCTTCATCTCAAATGTATTATCTTTGAACTTAAAGGCCATATACTTTTGAAATATTTTCCAGACGGTTCTTTATGTCACAATCTTTGACAATCTGCTTATCCTTTCAGAATTTCCAAACAAGAGGCAAACTTCTTACCTCAGTGTTACTGGGAGGATTAAATGAAAAGTGCATGGGCACTGGCACACAAAAGAGAGTCAACTATTATGTCTCCTCCCCTCTAATAACCATCTATTATTATGATTAACAAATCATATGCACGAACCAGAATGCTCCAGATTACCTACATTAGGGACCTGTGTCAGGTACCATGTTACAAGTTTCTAATTTTTCAAGTTTTCCTAACCAAAACTGGTGTCTTATTTTAAGTGGAACCTTTCCCCAACCAAAAAGGAAATGGAACAATATTAGGCCATTAAAAAGAGGAAATCCTGCCATTTGGACAACATGAATAAACATAGAGAATATTATTCCAAGTGAAATAAGCCAGACACAGAAAGACAAGTACCGTCTGGGTCTCACTTATACGTGGAATCTGAAAAGAGTCAAACTCACAGAAGTAGAGACTAGAAGGGAGGTTGTCAGGGGCTGGGGATGGGCAGGGCAAAGAATGAGAAAATGTTGGTCAAAGTGTACAAATTTTCAGTTATGAGTACGTTCTACAGATCTAATGTACAGCATAGTAACTATAGTTAATAATACTGTACTGTATACTTGAAATTTGCTAAGAGTACATCTTAAGTGTTCTCACCACACACCAAAAGAAATATAACTATGTGAGGTGACAGATATGTTAATAACCTTGACTGTGGTAATCATTTCACAATGTGTGTGTTTGTGTGTGTTTGTTTATCAATACATCAAGTTGTATTGAGATATACAGTTGAATATAAACAATTTTTATTTGTTAATTATACCTCAATAAATAGCTGGGGAGAGGAAGATCCGGATGGAACATCAAGAGAAGAAAAATAAAATATGTGAAATGAAAAATTCACTAGATATGAAGAGTTAACAGAAATCTCCAGCAACAAATTAATTTAAAATAAAACAGAAGAAAAAGAAAAGGTGGCGCACTGAAGAACCCTGGATATGCAGACACAAAAAATGAAGGTTTAGGTCACCCTTCTAGGTATTAACTTTTTTAAAAAAAAGACCAGCTGAAGTATTGCCCAAGGGCAAAGGGATCTAAGCATCCATTTAATGAACAAAGGAAGTTCTAAATTTTAACTACAGCCTCATGATCAGTTACTAAAATAAGAATCAGAGCAGCTATGACTCTCTTCTTTGTATTTGTATATTTCCTGTAAATACAGCAATTAATCTTTCTGTTCCTCTATACCTCCTTTTACCTTTATGTATGAATTGCTAGTAGTGGTTAACTTTACACTTTTGCCTTTAAATTAAAAATATTCTGTTGTGAATGTGAATACTTATAAGGGTAATTAATATCATATAGTAATCAATACCATGACCACTGCCCAGAGATGGCCACATTAACTGGTATCATCCCTTTCTAGAGAAAGGGTGAGAGCAACTTCATTTATATCGAGGGGTACATGGCTTCATTTCGTACACCCCTGAGTTAAAAATGATTTTTATATTTTTAAAGATTATAAACAAAAAAACAACAAGAATATGTGATAAAGATCATAAGTGACCATGAAAGCCTAAGTTATTTATTATGAAGCCCTTTATAAAGTTTGCTGAACTCTGATTTTATGAAGAAGTTCATCTTTTAAGGAGAAAGTATAAAGTTGTTGTTGTTGTCAAATGAAATTCAAGTATCTGTACAAGTGTGTGGATATACTAGTAGTCAAAGGAGTAGGTGGTAACAGATATTAAGCTACTATTTGTCAGCTCCAAATCCACCCTTCTAGACTCTACTTGGTGATGCTGGGCCTAACTGTGCAAATTATAATTTTGTTTGTCAGTGACTGGAGTGACAAGCACCTCGTTCCTTCCTTTGTGCTTCCTGCTCCTGTCAGTACTGTGTAAGCCTGGCCCTTTACCCTGGCAGTAGCAGTTGGTTCCAGTCTGCAGCTTTTACTGACACTCCCAGAACCAGCCTCATTACAACCCCTCAGAGGCACCAGTAGTGTCCCCTCATTCGAGGTCTGAGTCCCAGCTCTGCGGGGCTCTTCCCTCAAGGTTCTAGGTTCTGCTAACTCCAGTCTCTCCCCTGTGTCATCCCAGTCCTAGGAGAAGCAACTAGCTATCTGCAATTATGTTTTTTTCAATTTTTCAACCTCTTAAAATACCTACTATTATTTGTTTTCCCAACTGCATCACCACTAACACAAGTTTTCTATAAATATTTGGTAAATACATACATGCTAGGTACTGTATATGCATTGGGATATGGCAACAAGACAGACACAGATTTAACTACAATTATAATAAGTGGTACAAAGTGCTATGGTCATAGCAATAACCTTAATAAAAGGTTATCAGATCCATTATAATTAAGCTAGAATATGGAGTCTAATTACATGGAGCTTTGGATTTCAAAAAGAATGTTAAAAGACTAAAGAGCAAAGGCTTGGCGCAGTGGCTCATGCCTGTAATCCCAGCACTCTGGGAGGTCGAGGCAGGTGGATCACCTGAAGTCAGGTGTTTGAGACCAGTGTGGTCAACATGGTGAAACCCGGTCTCTACTGAAAATACAAATAATTAGCCGGGCATGGTGGCACGCACTTGTAGTCCCAGCTACTTGGGAGGCTAAGGCAGGAGAATCACTTGAACCCAAGAGGCAGAGGTTGCAGTGAGCTGAGATCACACCATTGCACTCCAGCCTGGGTGACAGAGTGAGACTCCGTCTCAACAACAACAACAACAACAAAAAAAAAGATTATGAGCAACAAAGATACGATAGACCTATATGTGTATTTCAGAATGATTAACTTAGCAACAGCTTAGTACCATCGAAATAAGTTACTAGAGGAAATTTAAGAGAGTACTATAATAATGAAGGCTAGAAGTATAGAAACCCTGAATATGGTTATAGTAGGACTAGAATGGATAAAAAACAGACAAAATGAATACAAGAAACAGAAACAGAATCAACAGGACTTAGTAAATGACTAAATGCAGAAGACAAAGGAGAATGAACTAGTAAAAGGTATCTGAATCTAAATCCTAATAAACTCAAAACGTGTAGCACAAAATGAAGTAGACTATGTAAGAAACGATATCCAAAAGGAAGTCTAAAATTTCTGCGAAGTGAGGTTCAATGCTGTTGTATATTTTTGAGTTAGCCACAAACAGGAAAGCTTATATTAATATGTAAAGTATGGTTTTATATAATTCAAAATTAATTACACTGTACATACCCCCTGAAGTGGTGCACCAGAAACCACGGCCACATTTGCACGTATTTCTTCTTCATTTAAACTCAGCCCCATGTATTGAGACAGCTCCGGATATAGTTTGGGATAGAGATCTAATAAGTAAATGAATGAATGAATAAATTAAAAAGTACTTACAGAATACACAAAATGAAAACTTCTTTTATTATGGGCTTCTGTGTATTAACGAAATTATACTTAAGTTATAAAATCTAGAATGAATTTAAAGTAGCAATTTGGAAAGGCATCTCCCCATCTCTGTAACCATTAGAAATGGAAAATACAGAAAATGTTTAAAATTCATAAAATATGAAGACATCTGAACTGAAACAACCAGATTCCTAAACACTCAAAAGTAGAAATAACTTTTCCAAATAAACTATCTTGCCTTTCCTGTTTCTTAAAATAAACCTACTTGATTAGGAATTTAGTAAGAATACCACTTACCAATTCAGAACAACTGACCAAAATATCTATTTGTCAAGTCAGCTACTTTATAACTCATTCTGTAAACAGGGCTATGGAATGATTCTTCTGAACAATCTTTTTTTGAAAGCTTGTAAATTTATTTAGTGTCTTATCAATTTTAGTAATTTTAACTACATTCCAATGAAATCCTGCAAATGGTATTTTTAAATATTAACATTATTTCACCTGGTAGTAGTTATATACTATTTCCAAAAGCTCTTTTCTACATGAGACTTAAATTATCTGTGACTTAAAATGAATTTTCTATGAGGCAAGGTTATAAACTGTTGTAAGACAAAATGACAGGCCACAAAATTTATTTAACACTTATTTTGTATCTTAAGTCATAGTATTTAGAAGCTCTGTCCTGAATCCCTCTGAACCTTGAAGAAAAAGGGACCAAAGACAGGATACAGAGAATGAATAAAGGCCTCAATATTTAAGAGGCTTCCCAAAGAGGAGGTGGTTGGAAATTTCAGAAGCTCCCATAGGAAAGACAGAAGACAATTCAGAAAGTTCAACAGCAGCAGCATGATGATAGTTCTTAAATGTGAATTCAAAAAGTTCTTACATGTGAATTCATATATATAATTCATTCATAAATGAATCAGCCACATGTTAGGGATTTACAAGTCAGTCTAAAATCAATTTTCATTAAGCCATGAAATACATCCCCATATCCACAGTTCGCTATCTTAATTAGAAAAAGGGTTATTTTTTGAAGTAAACTTTTTTTTCTTATTCATAACTATTTGAGCTTAACTACCAATTTTATGCAGCCTGTCAAGAAAAAAAAATCTTGGATTCCTTATTTGAGCAAAAGAAGATAACAATATTTCTGTTCACAGAGAATGAACTCAAAGTATAAACCTACTTCGATCTTGAGAGATAGGAGCAGAAGCTTCTGACAAAATTGCTGGATTGGCAGGGTTTGCAGAAAAAGCAGTTTGAGCCTGAAAAAGAAAAGAAGAAAATTGTAACAATACACTATACTTACTTTATATACTTATATAATTTATAAGCTAAATCCAGTACTTCCAAAAAGAAACTAAAACAATGAAGATTTATGTAAGAAAGTTTAATTTCAAACATGTCAGCAATACATTTTTTCAAAGGAAATCTGCAAATCAAAATTATATTTGATATTCTAAATACTTTTAAGGCTATCACAAAAAAATTGTAGAAGTACTATTCTACATGTCTTATAACCAGTATTTCATAGTGCTGCCACAATAAATATTTTCAAAGTGCATTCTAAAATGGATAAATTTTACATTTTCATTATTCTTTTACTAATTAGTCCAAGTAAAAATATTTTATTTGCATAAGAAAAAAGCATACCCATATTCATATAAAAAGTCACATATCAGAAAAACACCTAAAAAATAAATACTAAGTTGCTAATATTTACCATTTTAGCATGTCCCACTGAAATCATCTTCATCACAGCAAGTATAGCAAGGGATTTATGCTAAACACTTTTAGAATATCAGAAATTATGAAAATAGCACAGTTTATCACTGACATAAATGGATGATGACAAGGTAATATAATTTGTAACTGTTAAACTTGCCAAAATCATTCTGACACACTCTGACACTCTAGCATTTATCAGTGCTATTCATGACCAAGTATCCACTTCTCAGGGCTGCCTCGATGGCCTATATCATATGAAGTATTTTCACTGATGGAAATACTTTATCCTTTACCATTAGATCTACTTTCTGAAATAGCTATATGTCATTAGAGACAAGTTTGGTAATAAGTTGTATGACCAATCTCTACCAACTTTTTACTTTATTGGAAACGTGTAATTTTAAAAATGAAGTTCATAGTAGTATCTCAACCTAGCCCTAAAATCAATGTCAAGAGTAGTCCCAAAGATGCTTTGGAGATATGAAAGCTTAGGTTAAATAAGTAAAGCCTACAAAAGCTTTGAATGGTACTAAAGTCATATGTTCTGATATACTTGTTGAGTTATCCTTTAATATTTATTATTTCATAATTTGTTAAACATTCTAGATTTAAACAAAATACAGCATGAACATCTTTATAACTGTAAATAACAATCCACAAATTGAACATGTGTTGAACTTTGAAAGTTCTTTCACCACGATTAGCTAAAAGGAGCTAGTGGCTTGTTATATTACTTCTTGAATCACGTCTAACAAAAAAAGTACCGTGCAGCACTGAAAAAAAAAAAAAGAGCTATAAAGACATGAAAAGACATGGAGGAAACTTAAGTGGATATTACTAAGTGAAAGAAGCCAACCTGAAAAGGCTACATACTTTATGATTCCAACTATGACATTTTGAAAAACGCAAAATTGTGGAGATAATAAAATATAAGGCCAGGCACGGTGGCTCAGGCCTTTAATCCCAACATTTTGGGAAGCCGAAGTTGGAGAGGTGCTTGAGGCCTGGAGTTCAAGACCAGCCTGGGCAACATAGGAAAACCTGCCTATGCAAAAAACTGTTTTGGCCGGGCACAGTGGCTCATGCCTATAATCCCAGTACTTTGGTAGGCCGAGGTGGGCAGATCACCTGAAGTCAGGAGTTCAGCTGACCAACATGGCATGTTGTCATGTTTCTCATGGCCAACATGGCAAAACCCCGTCTCTAGTAAAAATACAGAAATTAGCTGGGCATGGTGATGGGTGCCTGTAAATTCCAGCTACCTGGGAGGCTGAGGCAGGGAGAATTGCTTGAACCCAGGAGGTGGAGGTTGCAGTGAGCCAAGACCGTACCACTGCACTCCAGCCTGGTGACAGAGCAAGACTCTGTCTCAGGAGAAAAAAAAATTTTTTTAAAGCTAGCTAGATGTGGTGGTGTATGCTTGTAGTTCCAGCTACTTAGGAGGCTGTGGCAGGAGGATGGAGGCTGCAGTGAACTATGACTGTGCCACTGTACTCCAGCCTGGGCAACAGAGCAACATCCTGACGCTAAAAAAAACACAAAAGCAAAAGCAAATTATTGGTTGCCAGGAGTTTCTGGAAGGGAAGAAAGAACAGGCATTAAAGGATTTTTAGAGCAGTGAACCTATTCTGTCTAATGCTACAATGGTATACAGTCATGTGCTGCATGTTCTGATCAATGATGAACCACATATACAACAGTGGTCCCATGAGATTATAAAAGAGTTAAAAAATTCCTGCTGCCTAGTGACATCATAGCTGCCGTAACACAACTCATTAGTTTGTGGTCATAGTGGTGTAAATAAGCTTACTGCACTGCTAGTCATATATAAAAAAGTCTAGCACCTACAATTATTCATGGTACATAATACTTGATAATAAATGACTATGTTACTCATTTATGTATTTCCTGTGTTATACACTTTATCTTTAGAGTATATCCTTCTACTTACAAAAACAGTTAACTGTAAAACAGTCTCAGGCAGGTCCTTCAGGAGGTATTCCAGAAGGCGCTGTTACCATTGGAGATGACAACTCCATGCATGTTACTGCCTCTGAAGACCTTTCAGTGGGACAATGTGGAGGTGGAAGACAGTGATATTGATGATCCTGACCCTGTGCAGGCCTAGGCTAATGTGATTGTGTGTTTTAGTTTTTAACAAACTTATAAGCAATTTTAAAAAACTGAAAATTTAAAAAATAGGAAAAAAGCTTATAGAATCAAGATATAAAGAAATATTTTATATAGCTGTACAATGTATTGTGTCTTAATCTATATTATTACAAGAGTCAGAAAGTTAAGAAATTAAAGTTACAGGAAGCTAAGGTTAATTTATAATTCGACAAAGAAAAATCTTTAAATAAATTTAGTGCAGCCCAAGTACAGAGTGTTGATAAAGTCTGCAGCAGTGTACGGTAATATCCTAGGCTTCACATTCACTCACCACTCAACTCACTGACTCACTCAGTGCAACTTCTAGTCCTGGAAGCTCCATTCATGGTAAGTGCCATATACAGATGTACCATTTTAAATCTTTTACATCGTATTTTTACCATACCTTTTCTGTGTTTAGATACACAAATACTATTGTGTAACAACTGTCTACAGTATTCAGTACAGTAACATGCAGTGTTATTCTATCATACAGGTGGGATCATACAGGTTTGTAGCATAGGAACAACAGACTATACCATATTGCTTAGATGTGTAGTAGGCTATGCCATCTAGATTTGTGGGAGTACACTCTATAATGTTTGCATAACAAACTGTCTAATGTGGCATTGCTCAGAATATACCCGTCTTTAAGCAACACATGACTATATACACATCACTATACATTTGTCAAAATCCATAGAACATATAACACCAAAGGGAACCTCATGTAATGAAAATATGTAAACTTCAGGTGATATTAATGAGCCAGATGTACCGCTCTGGTGCAGATGCTGATACTGGGGAGGTTGTGCATGTGTGATGATAGAGGGTGTACCGTACTTTCGGATCAATTTTGTTGCAAATCTAAAATTGCTCTAAAACACAGCTTACTAATTTAAAATACTTCTCCTTTGTATGTAGTTATGATTTTCTATTCTTTCATTGCTATTGTTTTTAATCCAAGGAATACTGAAGAATACATATAGAAAGCTCCCTGCAAACAAAGTTATATAAATTTAATTATGTTATTTGCAGTAAAAATGAAACAAAAGGATGTAACCCAATTTTAAGTACTGTAAACCATTAAATGTAGCTACTTATTTCAAACTTACTTTGAAATCTGACACTACTGAAAATAAAGGGGTTACAGTTGCCCCAAGGAGCATGCCAGGGCCTATTATTTCTGCCATTAACAGAAAGGATGTGGAAAAAACATGCTTGTAGCATCACTTCTGCCAAATTCTGCCCACCGTATTAGGAAACTGATAAGCTCTGGTTCTATATATCATTATTTATTAAAAGCTTACTTTGCATAAGTAGAGGAAACCACAGGCCACAGGCTCTTGTCAGGATTTGGAATGGAGAGAAAGGTCTAGGGACTGTATGATGTTAAAAGCCACAGCCTAATGGCTACTGCAGAACAGTTTACAAAATACGAATGGTTGGTTCATTGCTGTAATTTAGCTTTGCTGTGGTGTTAAAGGCCAGCAGATGAGAAAATGAATACTACCTTCCTTCATAACACCATTTCAGGGGAATCTTAAGAATAAAAACAAACATGAGTATCATCCACCTTAGAAAATGATGCAAAAAAAAAAAAAAAAAAAAAAAAAAACCTACAGCCAAAGAGTTTAATGGCTAGATTAGGAATATTTTTAAATTCAGGGGTAATAAAAGAACCATGTTTCCCACTCCTTATTCACTGTTCTATCTCCCAGCTGCTTTCTGCTCTGAACATAAAAGGTTCTTTAATGTAAATATCTATGTAATTCACTTCTGCTTGAAGAGGGCAGCATGATACAGATTGTAGCCCTCTTTATTTTTCATTCCAATATCTGTCAATATCAACTCTTCTTCTGCTGCTGTTTTCAAAATCAAAAGCCTCAGCTCATACCTGACTATGGTAAATTTACATTCAATTCCATAAAAACCTAACAAAAAAAGGATGAAAACAAAGAACAGATTAGTTATTCTTATGGGTCCACCTAAAAATCCTTATCAGTTAATGTGTTGATGTCATATAAGTGGCTAAGCAGTTATTCTGGAAAGCTAAATATTTCAGATAAAAGTCTTTTAAAAAGAGTGCTTGGGGGCCGGGTGCGGTGGCTCAAGCCTGTAATCCCAGCACTTCGGGAGGACGAGACGGGTGGATCACGAGGTCAGGAGATCGAGACCATCCTGGCTAACACAGTGAAACCCCGTCTCTACTGAAAAATACAAAAAAAACTAGCTGGGCGAGGTGGCGGGCGCCTGTAGTCCCAGCTACTCGGGAGGCTGAGGCAGGAGAATGGCGTGGACCTGGGAAGCGGAGCTTGCAGTGAGCTGAGATCCAGCCACTGCACTCCAGCCTGGGCTATAGAGCGAGACTCCATCTCAAAAATAAAATAAATAAAATAAAAAGAGTGCTTGTTTAGATGAACTACGTGGAAATAAAACCACATGAAGAAAATACTGACAAAATACTAAAGAAGTGATAGGAACATGTAAAAGATGACTGAATAGGCCACGTGAAACTTTGAGGCATCAAAGCCTTGGCAGCTGAACTGTAGATTTCAGAGATTTTACAACCCTCATTTTAATATCCATACTGGATCTATGATAGAAAATAATTGTTCATAATTCAATTATCAATAAGTAAATCTCACTTTCTAGTAAACTGAAGACAGGGCACCAATAAAATGATCTTCAAGGTAAGGAGTTTTCATTTATTTTGTCAAATTAAAATAATAAACAATAGCTGAAGAAATTCTAAATTGATAAAGAGATCAAGTTGAAAGCTAACCGTAAACAGACAAATCCATCATATACTACAAATTATCCTCAGTTAAAATAATTATCAAAAATTTCCCAAATAGCCAGAATTGGTCCCAATTCCTCACTTGTTCTTAAGCAGAAGCATGTGTCTTCAAAATGCAAAGGACTATAAAAATTTTCAACTCAATGCAATGAGAAATACTGCAATCTCTACACAGTCATTTAGAGAATAAACAAGTGAAATGTCTGCTGCTCATCTCTCAAAGAAAAGAAATCACTACACTTTCCCTGTGCTTTTAAATAACTGCTCTTCTAAAAGTAGCATGTACTCCACTATTTCTGTAATTTTAACTTCAATTAGGAGGCAGAGAATTACTTTAAAGAGTGGTCATACCTAAAGATCCAAAAGACAAACATACCAATTTTATACAAAACTATGAATATCTAAAAAATTGGAGCATATTTTGTCAACTCAAATGTTACATATAATTTAAATTTTAGTCAGAAAATTAAGCTACATGTAAAAAGTGTAAGTCAAATTAAAAAAATCTCATGCCTATTAATTCACAGTGAAATGAAAAAAAATTGCTAGTTTTTCTGTAAACTTTTTAGTCTGCAATTAATAAAACTAAAGAAAGGTTTATGAAGTGTAAAAATGAACAAATATATCTGCCATTTAGCTATCTTGCTTTACTTCAAGCAAGATGTTACTGTGCTTGTTTTGAAAAAAGTATTTAAACTATCATACCTGAATTACTTTGTCTACCTTCAAGTCTTCAAGAGATGGATAGAGCGACATTTTTGCAGGATTCTTCTAAAGAAAAAAAGAAAGTTATATTACTCTGATGTCACAGAAAATGGAAATAGACACATAAACACGTATAACTATTTAACACAATAAAAAACATTTAAATTGCAAAACATATTATAAAATAGGAATATATAGGCCATACCAAAAGTCAGCTGATACTTAGGAATCACCAAACTATCTCTCTTCCCCTAACATTATTACTGAACTATATCCATCACCGATTTTTAAAATTCCTTTCAAGTAAAAGTCCCTTCATTTTACAAACTTAGGAAATCAAATAGAATAGTTATGTGACTTACTCCTAACTTACACAAGTACTTGCAACTTAGCCAGGACTACGAAACTACCCTTAGTACAATGCCCTTGGGCACCACACAGCTACATTTCCTTCTAACAATAAAAGCCTAAAAGCAGACCATATGCAGTAACAATACATGAAACCTCTATTACTAAGAAAAATATATACACACATATATGTATATAGAAGAAACTATATTAACTAACAGATTTATCTTCAGAAGACAGATGGTAAAGGAGTGAGGAATAAGAGGGAAATTTTTACATTTCATTTAAAATACTTCTATATTAAGTAAAGTATGTTTTTTAGTTATCATAAATTGCTTTTTGTAATAATTTAAAACACAATTCTCTTAATATATTATATGAATACATATTTTAAATTTTATTTAGCTGTTTTGAGATGAATACCTGATACTTTCACTCAACCCAATAAAACAGTGCTAAACTGGTACATGGTTTAACGTTAAGATTCCTGATTCGGGGCCGGGCGCGGTGGCTCAAGCCTGTAATCCCAGCACTTTGGGAGGCCGAGATGGGCGGATCACGAGGTCAGGAGATCGAGACCATGCTGGCTAACACGGTGAAACCCCATCTCTACTAAAAAATACAAAAAATTAGCCGGGCGAGGTGGCGGGCGCCTGTAGTCCCAGCTACTCGGGAGGCTGAGGCAGGAGAATGGCGTGAACCCAGGAGGCGGAGCTTGCAGTGAGCTGAGATCTGGCCACTGCACTCCAGCCTGGGCGACAGAGCGAAACTCCGTCTCAAAAAAAAAGATTCCTGATTCAGGTATCAATTTATTACCTCCCATTTCCAAATCCACTTCTTACTGCTTTCTCTCCCAAAATGGAGCTGAGCTCTTTCAACATTGCTCTGTTACCAGCTGGGATGATGTTAAGCCTTGTCAGTAGAGGCAACTGGAGGTACACTGTAGGAGGAAGAGGTTTTCTCCTCATGGTTCCAATGTACTACTCTAGTCAGACTCCTGCAGTACCTGCTCCTACAGCATCTTGCAACTTGCAGGAAGTAGTTCCGTAAGCATGCAGAAGCTAACCCCAGCACTCTGTTGAGTAACTCTGCAGCAGAATGCCACCACCAAGGAATCTCCCAGAGCAACTTTCTCAACCCCGTCATGTGGCTTCTGCAGCAAATTCCAAGGTTCAGAACGCCAGAGAGAGAATTTCAGGGAAGTTCCAGAAGCAAGGTCCAGTGCCATCTGTCCCCTCTTCAACCAGACCTGGATCTCAGCCCAGGTAAGGGAGCAGCCCTAGAGTTAGTGGCTACTTATTAAGTCTGCTCTTACAGTATTCTTCAAAGTTGTCTTTACTTCTTACAAGTCAATCTCTATTTCTTCAATCATGTTATAACTAATAGTTCTGTGTATTAAACCTCCACTGTTAAAATCACTATATGGTCTCTGTCTCCCAGTTGGACAGCAGTTTTTTTTAATTAATATAATTCACACACTCTAAAATTCAGCCTTTCAAAGTATACAATGCAATGGTTTTTAATGTATTAACAGACTTATACAATCATCTCCACTACCTATCTTTGAATATTTCCATCCTCCCCAAAAGAAAACGCATGCCTCCCCATTCTACCCTCCTTCCAGCTCCAGGCAACATACACTTTCTCGCCTCTGGATTTACCTGCTCTGGATACTTAATCTAGAATCTTAGGATATGTGGCCTTCTGCATCTGGCTTCTTTCACATAGCATATGTTCAAGGTTCATCTGTGTTGGAGCATTTATCAGTATTTCATTCATTTTCATAGCGGAATAATATTCCACTGTATGTATACCACATTGTATTTCTGCTGTCATCAGCTCATAACATTTGTGTTATTTGCACTTTTTGGCTATTATAAATAATGCTGTTAAAAATGCCAATGAGCATTTGCATTGTTAGCAAATAATATGTGAGTTTATATACTTTTTAAATAAATGCATCTTTAATTCTCTTGAAATATAGCTAAGCATGCAACCGCTGGGTCATATGGTAACTCTAATACCATCCCTTTGATGATTACAGGATTCGACATATGAATGGAGGGACACGGTCACAAACATTCAGACCATATCATACACCACTATAATATATGATTTACAAATATTTTTCTTATTCTGAAGATTGTCTTTTCATTTTTTTCACAGTGCATTTTGCAGTATGAGGTTTTTAATTCTGATGAAGTTGAATCTATATTTCTTCTTGGTTGCTTATGCTTTAGATATAACATCTCAGAAACTATTGCCCAACTCAAGGTTATGAAGACTTATCCTTCTGTTTTTTTCTAAAAATGTTATGTCTTTAATTCCTGCATTTATATCTTTGATCTATTTTATGTTAATTTTGTACATAGTGTGTGGTATAGATCCATATTCATTATTATCTATGTGGAAACCCAGTTATTTCAGCACCACTTTTTGAAAATAACATTTTTGAATTGTCTTGGCACCGTTGTTGAAAATCAATTGATCATAACTGTATGCACTTATTTCTGCAATCTCAATTCTATTTCATTGATCTATATGTCTATCCTTATACCAGTACCACACAGTCTTGAGTACTGTACATTTGTATTAAGTTTTAAAATCAGTTAATGTGAATCCTCCCACTTTCTTCTTTTTTGAAATTGTTTTGGCTATTCTAAACCCCTATCAACTCAGTATCAGTTTTAGAATCAGTATATCTATTTCTGTAAAAATAAATAAATAAATAAATAAAAGGTGTCCTTAAATCTGAAGTAAGTCTCTTATAAACTGGGTATAGCTGGCTCTTGGTTTTATTTTTTTAATCCATTCATCCCCTCTATGTCTTTTCATTGGAGAGTTTAGTACATTTAAAGTTATTACTGATAGGGAAGGACTTACAATGACATTTTGTTAATGATTGTCTAACTTGAAACTTTTTTGTCCTTCCTTTCCTCTCTTGCCATCATGCTTTTTGTTTCATTTTTTTTTAATAGATATGCTTTGATTCCTTATTTGTGTGTGTGTATTTTCTATAGGTATCTTCTTTGTGGCTACCATGGAGCTTAAATAAAACATCTTCTAATAAATCTATTTTAAGCTGATAACTTCAACTGCATATAATACTGCTTCTTTTCATCCATCCCCATACTGCATTACTGATGTCACAAATTACATCTTTTATGTTGTGCATCTATTAATATTTTTACAGTTATAGGCACTTATACTTTTGCCTTGGACTTATATATCAGAAATAAGTGATTTACTCACCACCATTACAATAATAAGCAGGTCTGTATTTGTCCATAGCTTTATCATTTAATTTTATACTTTCACATTGAACATCCTTTTGTTTCCATTTAACAGACTCCCATTAGTATTTAAGTCAGATATAGTGGTGATGAACTCTCTCAGATTTTGACAATCTTATTTCTCTTTTACTTTTAAAGAAAAGCTTTGCCATATACAGTACTTTGCTGGCAGTTTTTCTTCCAGCAGTTTGACTATATCATCCCACTTCTTTATGATCTGCAAGGTTCCTGCTAAGAAATCCACTTAGAGTCCTACAGAATCTCCTTTGTACATGACAAGTTGTTCTTATCCTGCTGCTTTCAAAATTCTTTGACAATTTGATTATAGTGTGTTTCCATGTGGATGTCTTTGGGTTGTTCTACTCTGGAGTCCATTGGGCTTCTTGAATCTGGATGTCCATTGCCTTCCTTCAATTTGGGAAGTTTTGGTCATTATTTCTTCAAATAAGCTTTTTGCTCCTTTCTCTTTCCAACATATGGAACTTCCATACAATCTATATTGATACAATTGATGCTCTCCCATTATTACTCTAGGCTGTCTTCATTCTTTTTTTATTCTTTTTCTTTTTGCTTCTCTGACTGGGTAATTTCAAATGACCTGGCTTCAAGTTCACTAATTCTTCTCCTTGAAAAACACTGCTGCTAAACTCCTCTTGTAAATCTTTCAATTCGGTCAAAGCATATTGCATCTGTTACAATGTTTGTTTGGTTCCTTTTTATGTTTTCAATCTCTTTGTTGACACCATTTTGTTCATGCAGCGTTTTCCTTGGGTCACTGAACATGTTTATGGTGGTTAGTCTGAATTCCTTCTGAGATAATAAAGATATCTGTGTTTCCTTAAAGTAGGTTTCTGGATATTTTGACCCTTTGATTGTGCCATGTTTCCCTATTTCTTTGTGTGCCTTTTAACATCATGTTGGGATCCAAGCATTTGAAAAAATATCACCCCTGCCAGTCTTTGTGGACTGGCTCTGTAGAGAGAAAGATCCTCACTGATCAGCCTGACTAGAGATTCTGCATGCCTTCTGAACCTTTCCTGAGGATGCTTCTTCTCTACCAGTGTGTATAAATTCTCAAGATGAGCTTGCTGGTTTCCTTTTTCAGGATCTCATAATCTTTTGCTCCCTGTGCTACCTGTCTATAGTACTTCAGGTTCTCTGGAGCTGCTGCAAGCCACCCAGCTCTCTTTTGTTTTCAGAGGCCTCCAACCTGGTGCCCTTTCCTGTCAGTGGGCTTTTAGAGTATGTCCACTCCTGCCTGTGCTCCAAGTCAGGTGAAACAGAAGCCAGTCCCTTGGGGGTAGCTCTCTGAAGTGTTGGACACATACTCCACTATTCTCTCCCCAACCCCTTTCATGCCATACCTAGGGACAGGCTGCTGAGCTGTATCATCCTCTGTCTGCCCTACCATAGGTCCTCTAGAGC